GGAGGGATGTATGGGCCATGGAAGCTAGGAACTTGAGCTTCCCCATCACAGCCACATATGATGTCCTACCAACACCAACTAATCTCCACCAGTTGTTTGGTGAAGATCATGGGTGCGTCCTGTGCTCCAAGCCAGCCTCCCTCTGGCACATACTGACTTGGTGTAAAACAAGCCTTACCCAAGGACGATACACTTGGTGGCACAACCAAGTTTTGAGATGCCTTGCTGCTACACTGGAGGAAAAAGGATCCAGCATCAACACCCTTTCAGTACCTAACATCTCAACACCACCATGGGCAACTGCCTTCGTCCGTGAAGGCACAGCAGCCACTAATAGCAGCTCTAAATCATCAGAGAGAAGCCAGCTGTGCCTAGCACGTGACTGGAAGATGCTGGCAGATATTGGCAAACAACTGGTGTTTCCCTCAGAGATAGCTACCACCACCGTTAGGCCTGACCTGGTGCTATGGTCCTCCTCCATAAAGAAGGTTTATATGATCAAACTCACCGTACCCTGGGAGGATTCCATGGAGGAGGCCTTTGAGCGGAAGCATCTGCTGTATGCTGACCTAGCCGCCGAAGCAAAACATCATGGCTGGAATGTGGAGGTCTGCCCAGTGGAGGTCGGGTGCAGAGGGTTTGTGGGAACATCTATCACAAAACTATTAAGGGATCTAGGAATCATGGGCCAGAAACAGCGCAGAGCCATCAAAGCTACATCAGAGGCAGCAGAAAGAGCCAGTGGCTCTGGCTGAAGACGAATGACCCCATTTGGACCCCCAAGAAGTGTGCCAGGTTGCACACTTTAATGGCTAGTTGAACTCGGGATGCAAGCTGAGGTCTGATCAACCTACAGCTGGCCACCTCTGAGGAGGGTGCATAGTGTTTAAAGGCCGAAACACCCCATGATCCAGAGGAACACTGCAGAGGATGCGTCCCAGAAATTTTTTCCTGCAATTCTACCATCCACCGTTAAGTAGACCAAGCACTCGTATGTTCTTGTACAAGGAAACACCATCTGATCCTGTGTTTTCTGGAATCAAAAATAATTTTGATGTGCTTAGCTTTAGGTACGAAAGCCGCACATTTTTTATTCCTTAGTGCACAATTTAGACCTTTGCAAGGTGTTGAACAAACATTGGACCTTAGGGTAAATATATACACCTTCCTGGGGGCTTAAAAGGTCCAATGATGTCACCAAGTGGTAAAGGGCACCTCTAAACTGTCTGTTTGGTCTTTTTATGAAAAGGCAGAAAGTTATAGAATAAAAGTTGTCACTTTTAATGCATCTTTAATGGCTAGTATTAATGTAAGAAGCATAATATGTTTTATTTTATCATGTTTTTTCATATAACAGTTCAAATAAATAAATAAAATGGGCCCTCGCCACCTGTAGATAATCCACTAGAGGGCAGTAGACATGTAAGAGACTGTGTGACCAAGGGGTAATCTCCTCCTGGTGAAAGTGAAGCCAACATGGTAGCAACAAAAAATGCAGCTCCCTCTTTACCCCCTAGAAGACAATTCTCCCTACCTTCTAGAGCAGGAGTGGGGAACCCTAGTCCTCGAGAGCCGGTATCCTGCATGTCTTTGCTCCAACACCTCTGATTCAGTGGTTGGTTCACATGTTCTGCAGCTCATCAACCTCTGCAGAAGCTTATTAATCACCTGCTGAATGAAATCAGGTGTGATGATGCAGGGTTGAAACTAAAATATGCTGGATAGCGACCCTTGACGGACCGGGGTTCCCCACCCCTGTTCTAGAGGATCTCTCTGACTGCAAAACTGTGGCTTCCGAAGAGATGGAGGCAGTACTGATCACTAACCGTGTTGGTGGCCTCTGGCGCTATCTGAGGGAGAACACCGAAACACTGTAGTTTGGAGAGCTGATGTGTGTTTCACGTCACTGCATTGTTCTGGTTAAAAGAGCACACCGGCATCATTAGATTTAGTTAGCACAGGGATTCCCAAAGTGTGGAGCGCGCACCCCTGGGGGTGCGCGAGCTGCTGCTAGGGGGTGCGCGAGGTGAAAAGTGTAATGGCTGCGGAGCTCAGAGAAGTATGTCATATGTCACCATTAGCGTAGAAACTCATTTGTGGGTGGGCCAAAGAAAAAGTAAGTGGGCACAATAAATGTAATTGAAAACAAGTATATTTTTGCACGCGCGCACGTGTCCTCCACATGTGCCCTAGCTTCATAATAACAATGCGCCGAGCTTCAGCACTCTGGCCTGCGCACGCTGATATGTTCCGTATTTTATCATTTTTAACGGTGTTGGAGGAATCTGAAGGTAGTGAATCATTCTGGCAGATTGTAATTAACACCTGTCTCATGCAGGTGTTCTGACATTGTAAACCTCACACACAGAACATTGTGGATGTAACAAAATAACAAGAAATGATTCCCATTCAGGCTATTAACAGCGAGCTGACGATCTGAAGTTCAGAGTGCGTCTGTCAGAGGTCAGACGCGTGTTCCGGCTGAACCACGGCTCACGGGTGCATAAGTGAGCACATCTGGGCTGGGCAGAAGGAATTTTACAACATTGGTTTAAATAGCGCGAGACGCGGTGACTTAAGCGGCTGTGCCGCGCGCGTGCACGCGCACACACACCCACAGATTCAATAAGCGCACACGCTGCTTTAACTCCGGCGCGCCGTCAGACTGAAGGCAGAAATGAACGCTGCCTCCACCGTGATAAAAACTTTTAAGAGGTTATTTTTCATTCAAGGTCAAATTAAGATATTAGCTTCTGGGATGAGTCGGGTCCGCTCCAGCCAGTGACTCCTCATGAACCTGACCACATCTCCTGTTACTGCAGCATTTGTTATTCCGGTCCGCATGACAGCGGATCGCAGATTCAGCCACACCATAAAACAGCAATAAGTCGGTCTGAGGTAAAAGTGAACATCATGGCTATATCTTGTCCCCTATTGACATTTGATTACGCACAAGTAGGTGACCAGCTCAGGTTTACGCAGAGCAGAAGGAAGGAGAGCGCTCTGGCCGCACAGGTTAAACGTTCCTACTTTAAGAAAACCATTAAATTGCATTGTTTATGTGCTACCTGTGCACTCTAAATATTTATTCAAAATGAAATCAAAGGAAATTGTAATGTATCGAATGCTTATTAATTACTATTTAAAAAATGAAAGTGATGGGGAATTTTTTTAACCCTCTCTGCTTAGCTTGACATCTGATATATATATATATATATATATATATATATATATATATATATATATATATATATATATATATATAGCCATGCCCCGATGTGGGGGCTGGGGGGGGGGGGGCATCGACATGGTCGGGACATAGAAGGGGGTGCGCGGCTAAATAAGTTTGGGAACCACTGAGTTAGCACATAGCTACATTGGTTCAATGGGTGTTAATCATCTGCCCACATCCTCACAGCTCCGCTCTCAGCTCCACCTCTTTGTTCGGGAGTGACAAGACCTGTGACAAGGCCAAGATAGCATTGATGGGCATTGATGGGAGCTGCCCACTGGACTTAGCTCAGCTGTTCAGAAACCAATGGGCGACGTCACGGAGGGTTGGCTCATAAATTCTACAGTCTTCAGATAGGACAGGTTTCTGGTGAAGGTACTAATCCTGATACTCCATCTGGATGCTTTACAATGACTGTGTATATTTTCCCTGGTAATAAGTGCAGTACATACCTAAATCACTGTAAGCAAGCAGTTATTTTAGTGTTCGAGTAAGACCATACCAACGGAACACCATTAGGGTCAAAAATCCCTGGGTGCATGTATTTCAACAGATCGTTCAACCCCCAGCAAAATGATGAGCACATCAGACACCCTTTCATCACTGGCAGTGGGAGAAGAGGTAAATGTGCAAAACAACGTTTATGAATGGTGAAAATTGTGTAACTGTTCAGTAAATGTATTTTGTCCTCACTTGCTCCCGTAGAAGGAAACATGGCATCTAATATGGCATCACCCAGATAGTTAGACCCACTCCCATGTATATTAGACCCAATTTTTATGATTATATGATACGAAGTCGCCAATATTTTCCAACAACTGGGCATCATTTCAGTCAGTTTCAACAACATTTCATTAGATATTTCCAGAGATTAACGGTAAAAACTACACATTGTTAGCCTGGCAACCTAGACTAAATAAATATATTATTTTAAATATATTATTTAGTCTGGCAACACTCCATTGACAGCTCTCGGTTGTTGGGCGGGTTCTACCGTTGTCTTTCAAATGATCACCGCATGCTACTGGGCAATACACAACGTGACGTTCTCTCCGCAACGGATGTCGTAAACGAGGTGGTCCATTGTTGTTTTTCTAACAAAAATAACTTAAATACATCTATCTGCTCCTGGTTATAAAGTCCAAATAGTCCAAAATTGGTGTAAAAGCTGTTTCAAACAAGCTGTCGCCATCTTGTTCCAGTCTGTTGCATCATCTCGCCCGCCACACGAATAGAGGGCCCTGATTGGCCCACAAAGCGGATAAAGCGCTGTGATTGGTTCACAAAGCAGACAGAGTGCTATGATTGGCGCACCATTATTGACCAATCACAGCAATGTGTTTGAAACCCTTCCAGAGAGCTGTGATTGGCCAGCCAGAATGCAGAGGTTCCAATGGAGCGTTTCTGGACCGAACTTTTGCAAAGCAAGAATTTGGTCTAGTTCATTAGGCTAGGACAAAGTCTCTTTAAGGCCAAAAGTGGTTTGATCTGAATTTGCAACAACAATTTACTAGGGGGTTTATCTTATTTTATATATGTTGAAATCTTTTATGAGTATGAAAACAATAAAATGGCAAACATCTTTGTTCTGGGAGTAACAGCTAATAAAATCTGTTAGTCTTCAGAGTTCTGATAAAAAGTCAGCTCTTGGAAATGTTACCTTTTTCCATCTCCTGGTGGATGCAAGCACGTTCTTTCATTTTACTGTAGGTACATTTGTCACACATGCAACACAGATGAAAACCTTACAGCCTAACGAGAAAAAGGCTCAGGTATCTTCTGAGATGAAGTCCTGCGAAGGAAGAGGAGCTGATGAAGCTTGCTGATGCCAGATGAAGAAAGGTGAAGTTGACGTGGAATGAGTGTGACATGAATCAGGGGAAATCAACCGAAGGCAGAGAGCTAGGAGAGAAACACGGGAGGTGGAGTCGAGGCCAACAGGCGGAAAATCCTCTCATTAATAAAATCTGCTGATGAAATTAGAACATCTAATAAGTCATACACCTCCTCACACACCTAATTTTGGTTCCTTGTCCTCTCCGTTGAGCGATTGTGACGTGATTAGATGAGATTATCTGCTTTCAGACATTTATTGCTGTGTTTTATAACATGTTCCAGCTCAAAAACCAAACCGGACATTGACTTTGTTTGTTACTCAAACATCGGGTTTATTAGAAATGACAGAAACAGACATGTGCACCATACAGAAACACAAGCAGACACTTTCAACACAAAAATATAAAAATACCTCTAAAAAATAGCACCTTTTGTTTGGCAGGTAAACATGCATCCATGATAAAAGTAACAACTTTCCCCCAAATAATAAAATACTTTATGTACAAAGACTTTTGTGCTTGATTCTTCATTTTCAAGAATAATAAACCATTTTATGATGTTTATGGTTACTTTGATATAAAGATGCATAAAAGGTTTGTTGGGAA